ACTTATCAGAGATGCAACTTTCAGCAGGGTAGCAAAATGATTGAATTGCATACCAATACTCTGAATACAAATAAAACATTTTGTGGATGAAAAGGGGGCTCTCTAATAAATCTAACCAAAAGTAACCTCACAAGGTGATCTGATGATAAATTCCTAACTGGACAGGTCATGGTGGGTGGTCATGCCTCAGGCCTGTAACTTCCCTAGTAGAAAAGTTGTCTTTGCCTTAAGCAAACACTACCCATTGTTTTGGTGCGCCTAGTTTGAAGCGCCTTTGAAATACCTTTTTTTTCAGATCCCTTGGAAGCTGAACCACCATCAAGAGAGTGTATAGTCTTAACTATCCTATAATCCAATCATAGAGATTTCCCTGCCTTGCTTTCTGATCTTCCTTAATTCTAAATGCATAAAAGAAACTGCAAACTGTCATTCTGGGAAACATTTTTCTCAATCTGTTGAGATCTTGCTTCTAAGCGTGTCCTCTGTTTGGCTCAAATAAACCTTTATAAAAATTCTTTACAGGTTTGGATGTTCTTACATTGACAATTTTAATAACCCCACAGACTGAAAATTAAATTTTAAAATGAGTTTAAATAGCCACTCTATCCAAATAGAATGTACCCTGAATCGAGAACCAAGTCAGCAAGTCATGCTGATTGGCTAGGTTAATAAAAATTCTCCAGCAAGAGATTAGTCAGCGAGAGGAAATATCCAGTCTGCTTGGCTGTTATATTTCACTCTGTAAATAAATAAAGATAAATTGTGAATCCTTGTCCTAGGATTCCTCAGAGTGAACTGTCAACATGAAAGTATTATCACCTTGTGAGGTCTTGTGCAAACTACCACCTCTTCACACTTCAGGTCTGGCAGTGCCTATTTGCGAAGAGCAAACATTAATTTTCAGGTCTAACAATGACAATTATAAAATTAAATAAGCTACCAGGCCAATGAGCCTCCTGCCTGCTCCTCTTCCTCACATGTGTAGACGTAAGAAACTTCCAAACCTGTAGAGAATTTTTGTAAGATTGTATTTGAGCAAACTGACAACATTGTAAGGAAGCAAGATCTAAAATGCTCTGGAGAATGATAGTTTTGCAGTTTCTTTTGTACATTTAGAATTAAAGAAGATCATGAGGAAGATTGCATGAAGGTGGGAGAAAACAAGGTGCAGGATAGTTACCAAGATTATGTGCTCTCAAAAGACCTGTTCTCAGAAAACTACAGGACATTGAAAAAAGAAATAGAGCAAGATATAAAAAAGTGGAAGTATATACTATGTTCATGGATTGAAAGACTCAACATCATTAAAATGTCCATACTACCCAAAGCAATCTGCAGATTCAATACAATCCCTATTAGAATACTGCCAGGAACCTGGAAAGCAGAGTCCCTGAGTTCCAGCAGTGGGAATAAAGACAAAGACACAGATATAGGATCAGGAGGACTGTCCTCAGCAGGATCAGCCTCGATATGCTTTATTACATGCCTTTTATACCTTACAGCAAAAGTTTAGTGAATAAGAAAACAGGATCTTCTTGATATAATGCCCACGGCCACAGCAATGCTGTATAGAATTAGTTTGCCTTGTGGATAACAGGAGCACCCAGGACACCCAGTCTGTTATCTCAGGTATTTTAAGGTACATTGGGTCACATTTAGCCGCACAAACACAATGCAAGCCTAATTCCTTGAGATTGTGGGGGAGGTCAAGTCTCTGACTCAAGACCTCTAGGTTCCGTGGACTCTGTCAGACACATAGCCAGCTCCCAATAGAATACCAATGGCATATTTCAAAGATCTAGAACAAATATTCCAAACGTTTATATGGAATAAAAAAAGACCCCAAAAGAGTCACAGCAATCTTGAAAAAGAAGAACAAAGTTGGAGGGATCACAATATCAGGTTATACTATAAAGGCATTGTAATCAAAACAGCCTGGCACTGGCGTAAAGACAGGCATATAGATCAGTGGAACAGAACAGAGAACCTAGAAATTGACCCAAGATATTATGCTCAATTAGTATTTGATAAAGGAGGCAAGAGCATACAATGGAGTAAAGATAGTTTCTTCAATACACAGTGTTGGGAAAATTGGACAGGTACATGTAAAATAATGAAACTAAACCACCAACTTACACCATACACAAGAATAAACCCAAAATGCATTAAAGACTTAGAAGAAAATGTAGGCAGAAAAATCTCAGACATCACACGTAGCAGAATTTTCACCAATACATTGCCTAGGGCAAGAGAAACAAAGAAAAAACTTAAAAAATGGGATTTCATCAAACTAAAAAGTTTCTGCACAGCAAAGAAACCAGCACCAAAACGAAAATGGAACCCACTGTATGGGAGAACATATTTGCCAATGATACATTAGATAAGGGGTTAATATTAAAAAAATATAAAGTACTCATACAACTCAACAAAAGGAAGACAAACCATTCAATTAAAAAATAAGCAGAGGACCTGAATAGACACTTCTCCAAAGAGGACATACAAACAGCCAAGAGACATGAAAATATGCTCAACGTCAGTAATCATCAGAGAGATGCAAATTAAAATGACTAAGGTGTCACCTCACACCTGCCAGAATGGCTATCATTAATAAATCATTAAGTAACAAGTGCTGGTGAGGATGTGGAGAAAAAGGTACTCTAGTACACTGCTGGTGGGAATGCAGACTAGTGCAGCCACTATGGAAAACAATTTTTTGATGTTTCCTCAAAAAATTAAAAATGGAACTGCCATTTGACCCAGTGATCCCACTTCTAGGAATATATCCTAAGATCCTTGAAACATCAATCAGAAAAAGTATATGCACCCCTATGTTCATAGCAGTGCTATTTACAATAGCTAAGATCTGGAAATGGCTCAAGTGTCCATTAGTAGATGAGTGGATAAAAGAGCTGTGGTAAATATACACAATGGAATAGTATGCAGCTGTAAGAAAGATCTCTTACCCTTTGACATGATATGGAGGGACCTGGAGAGTATTATGCTAAGTGAGATGAGCCATTTAGAGAAAGACAAGTACCACATGATCTCACTTATTTGTGTAATATAATGAACAAAATAAGCTGACTAACAAAAGAGATCCAGAGACATGAAAGTAGGGAACGGACTGACAAACCTCAGAGGGAAGGGGGATTGGGCATGGAAAGAGGTAAACCAAAGAATATATATGCATATGTGCATAACCAATGGACATAAACAACAGTGTGGTGAAGGCAGAGGTGGGGGCAGGAGCAAGGAGGAGGGTGCCAATGGGGAAAAAAGGAAGGACATCTGTAATACTTTCAACAATAAAGATAAATTTTTTTAAAAAGATGTATTTTCTTGAGGGTAGTTATGACCTAGGCATGACTTATGGTTAACACCTAGATGCACAAGGACAATGGACAGAGCTTGCTTAAGGGAAAGATAAACTTTTAACTAAATAAGTTATATGCCTTCCCACAATGACTGGCTGTTAGGAATTTATGATCAGATCACCCTGTAAGTTTTTTTTATCAGGTTTAAATCTGGACGTAATAGATTTATTATAGAGTCCCTTTTTAGTCCACTCAGAGGGAGCTCCTGCCAGAAGAGAGGAACCTGGGGAGCAGATGTATAATTGAGGTGTCTGGCCCAGCAGGCCCAGGCACAAGGCCCCCTCTGCCCGGTGTCACCCCTCTGCACACAGCCACTCCCGCTCCCTCTCTATTTCCCATTTGGCTCAAAGTTGAGCAGGGAGATTTCTCTCTCCGTGTGTCTTTCTAAAAGCCTTTGTAAATTTCTATGGAAATTTTGCCCCTGCTCGCTTCCTCCAGGGTTCATCATCTGTTTTCAACACAGCGTACCTGTCAGTTCTCCCACCTGCTACGCTCCCTATCGCTCCACGCCTGACTCTCTTCAGAATAAAGGCTCAGCCCAAGGGGCAGCCCGCAAGGCTATGCTCCTTTGTGGAATCCGCCTTCCCCATTTTATACAGGGCGAAACTGGTATTTAGGAGGGTGAATTATGCTCAAGGACAGGGAATGAGTTAGTTCCAGTTCACAGTCACTGGGTTTATCTCACTGAGCACAGTAACTTGCTTCACCGCCCAAAGCAGACCAACACAAATCAGCTCCTTACAAGGAAACAGCGAGTTTGAGGTCTGAGTTCTCAGAAAAACCCAGAGAAAGCCTCAGAAAACGGCGGCGGACCCGGGGAGGAGGTGTTCCCGTCTTTGACCCCGCCCCCAGCCCCGCCCTGCTCCGTCCCACCCTCCGTCAGAACTCAGGCTTCAGGGCCCGCCCCTAGAGGGCTGCAGCCAATCGGGGAGCCACGACCTCACCCGCGTGCCGAGTCCCCGCCGGCAGTGACGTGCCCCGCCCTGCAGCCGCGGGATTCAAACTCCCGGAAGCGGCTTTGGCACTGGAGGTGTGGCTGGGCGGATGCGAGCTCCGTTTTCCCCTCTGCAGCTGGCAGGCTGCTGGGAGGCGTCCGCAAAGGTTGGCGAGGGGCGGCCAGGACCGCAGCCCCGGGCGAGGGCAAGACGGCGAGGGGGCGGTTCAGTGGGCAGATAAGGTCGGCTTGGACTCAATCTCTGCCCGCCTGATTTAAGTCTCCTTCTCCTGGCGTCTCCTTCGTGCCTGGCACCGACCTGGGCGCCTCACGACCGGTGTGGTTTCGATACCTCGTTTCAGTCTTGAGGTGGGTATTACCATCCTCTTACAGACAGGCGCAAAGAGGCCAAGGATTTTCCCTAGTTTAGCATTTTTCCGATTAGCAAGCACTTTCATGTTTGTTCTACAAACATCTTCATTTTAGAGAGAAAAAAAGCGCCCCCTTTCGCAGTTTTACTTTGCCTGTCTGCCTCCTGTGAGGGTTTCGTGAGATTGCCTGCATTTGTGGATGCCGTAGCCCGGAATCGAGGCCTTGTGCAGTCTGCTACTGAGAGTTCCTTGGGCACCTCCCGCCCCGCGGGTCTTGGATCGCTTCAGCCAGTCCAGAAGAGCACCCACCTGCGCCTAGGCGACAGAAAGAATCCAAGGTCAGTCCCACACCCTAGTGGTTTGGCCGCATCACTTCTTTTCAATAAAAGGGTTCTTCTATTTAGCAAATAGGTTATTAGCCCTTTTCAAACCTGAGATTGGATCTATTAAACTCAGACTTATAAAATATAATTGTTTTTATTTTTACAATTTCAGAGATGTCTTCCAGAAGTCCTAAAGATTTAATTAAATGTAAATGGAGATCAAAGTCTACTAACTCCAAATCAGAAACTGCATTAGAAAAATTTGGGGGAATAACTGCAGCCTTACAAACGTCAGTGGATGAAATCCCAAGCAGAAGAGAAAAGCTGACTGACAAAGAGACACACAGACTTTTGGAGGTAAATGACCTTAAAAACCCTTTCCAATGGTAGTAAGCTTTATGGTAGGAGATGAGAAAGTATTTTCCCAATATTGATATAATCTAGCTTTTCTGTTAGTTTACTAAATGTAAAAAATCAAATCTGATATTTGAAAGTGTTAGTGGAGTTCAGATTTTAATATGAATGTTTAAAAACCCATTTTATTGTGTATATTGGCTACTTCCCAAGTAATCTTTGTCTTCAGGTTCTTTGGGGATAAAATCATTACATATATTGGCATTTTTGCATTCTTTTAAACTATATTTCAGGTTCTCCAATTTTCAGTTTGTTGTGGTATAATCAGTAAAGCAGTTGGGAATTCATTAGAACTGGAAAGATTTAAAAGTTTAATCACTAATTTGATTTTATTTTCTAATAGTACTTTTATTATTAAAGTTAGAAAATAAATGACCTGTATTAAATAGTATTGGATTTCTTTAAATTCTATTTTATAGGCACGTTATAAAACGAAATGATTCAGTATTTTTAACAACACATATTGAGGTAAATACATATTCAAGCATTGAAAAATGATCTATCACCAATCCTTAGACATAAAGATTATTTTGCAATCTGGTAAAGGAATCTGATAGCTTTCCTGAGAGATCTCTTTGTCATTCCACTTTTGACAAGCACTAGTTACCAAATATGTTCCTTTGTAATCAAAACTAAACTTCCTGTAACTTCTACCCATTTGTTCTAATTATGCCCGTTAAAGCTACACAGAACAAGTCTATTTTTAATCCATTTGACAACTTCTCAGATATTTAAAAAAACCTTGCTTCCTCTTAATTTTCTGTAGACCAACCCCATATTCTCCAGCTTTTCTGACTTCTTATCCTGGTCACTTTCCTGAACGTTTGGTGGTATGTTTATTTTCATTCTGAATTATGTACCCAGCACTGTACACAGTGGCAAACACAGGTTGAAATGGTACTAATCCACTGATCTGGATGCCGTACTCCATGAAAACCTAAAATTGTACTGGCTTTTTTTGTAACTGTAGCATACTACTGCCTTATCTTAAGCTTGTAGCTAACTAAAATCCCTGATCGTTTTCACACAACCATCCCACTCAATTTTCTCCATTTTATATTTGAACAGTTGCTTCCCTCACACCCTGCCAAAAGCAAGTTTCTAGTTTTACGATGTTTGTACCTTGTTAGCATGTAAAGTCATTCTGTTAACTTTTTCTATCATCTCTATTGGTGCTTTCTCCTTATGCCAGCAGCTGTATAACATACATGCCTTCTTTATCTTTAAAGTCCTTGAAAATGTTGAACACGCCTTTGAAGATCACCTTCTAAATTGGATACCAAATCATTTATTAACAAAAAGCAAGTTAATGAATGCATTTTTATCCAGGTGTAAACATTCTGTAATTTTTAAGTTCTGCTGTTTCAAGTTCAAGTTCATCAGTGAGCATGTATAACTAACTTTTAGCTTTAGATTGTTAGGACTTGTGTGATGAGGGATGATTATAAGATACTCATGTGAGAGCCAGCTTTTCTTTAGCTTTCTCTCGCCACTCTTGACAAAGTTGGTTTCTCCTTTCTGTATCCGTGTCACATCCATTTTATATGTATCTTAACTGCAGCACTTACCATATTGCATTAATGTATTGGTTTACCTCTCTGAGCTCTCTGAGCATAAGACCTTGGCTTCATCTTCTTTTTGGCCCTAGTGTCTAGTATAATACTGACTTGATATATAATAAACACTTTAAATGTTTGTTGTAGTGTATCATTTACTTTCATGTTTGACCTGGCTTTGCTCTAAGATTCTTCTTAGTTTATATGTAGAAAATTCAAGTCCTTGAAGCTGAGAGGGTGAAGAATGCTTATCATCTCACAGAGAAGGATAAAGAAATACAGCGACTCAGAGACCAGCTGAAAGCCAAAAATAGTACTACTGCATTACTTGAAAAGCTAGAAGAGAAAACAAAGGAAGATGAAAGGAAGGAACAACTGTTGAAATCCATGTCTGAAGAATCAAATGTATTGAGACAACAGCTGTCTACTATACCTGCAACATTTGCTGAACTTGAAACCAAACCATTTCATTTATCACAGGTACTAATAATTTCTTTAAACCCAGAATTTTTTTTTTTTTTTTCCTTTCTGACACAACTGGTAATTCTCATGAAGAATGAGTTTATTAAAATATGCTTGTCAAATGATGAAACAGTATAGTATACTAATAGGTTACTTTTTTTTTCTTTTCTTTTTTTTATAGCCTGAAACCTTCTCTATAAGCAAAAATAGTTTTTTATAGCTCCCTCCATGCCCCCACACCATTGTTTTGCCCAAGGGAATATTCAAAATACAGAATCTACTGTGTAAGACAGCCAAGAAAATTTTGTTGAGCTCTTTTTTTCTGTAGTATGTATCATGACAATAGGCTTCATATTTTTTTTATTTTTTATATTTGAGATATAAAGTTACAAAATCAAGTATGCTTTTCTTAACTGTACTTGCTTTTTCTGCCCTTTTGTTTTAGAGTCACTAGTATAGAGAAAGAGCTAGGATTTGTAGGTGGGCAGATCTAAGTTCAGATCTTGGTTCTGCCATTGGCTAGCTATGACTATGAACAAATTCCTTAACTACTCTAGTCTTAGAGACAATGCTACAATTCACCAGACCACTCCTAAATCTCAATTTTCACATTGATAAAATCTAAAATCAGGATAGGAATACTAGAGATTAGCCCTGGCCGGTTTGGCCCAGCGGTTAGAGTGTCGGCCTGCAGTCCAGAGAAACCCGGGTTCAGTTCCCACTAAGGGCACATACCTCGGTTGCAGTTTGTCCCCGGCCCTTGTTGGTCGTGTGGGTGGCAGCCACTTGGTGTGTCCCTTTCATGTCGATGTTTCTCTCTCTCTCTCTCTCTTCCTCTCTTTCCCTCCCACTCTATCTGAACAAAAAATGGAAAAATGTCCTCGGGTGAGGATTAAAAAAAAAAAAAAGAATACTAGAGATTAAATGTGATAACATATGTAAATTGCATAGTGCCTGGCATATAGTAAGTACTCAGTAAATGGTTTCTTATTGATCAGCTCTTTGATTCTTTTGGAAATTTGAACATTTGAATAATACCAACATTGCAACTATTTATACCACCTATAGAAGAAAATTTGTAGCTTTCAGATATACTATCTCCATGTTGTTAAGGTCTCTGTACTTGTCTCCCCTTTAGAGTAGTCAGAGTAATCAGACCTATTCATTTATGTGTAATCTTATAGCTGGACAAATGAGTATTTCTACAGATGAGTTCAAAGAGGTTAAGATTTTCTAGAGAATTTCCAGAGCTGAAATTCATGAAGCATTACAGTCAGATACAAAGTGGGTGATAAAACCTTTCCTTGCAGCTCAAGAATTAGTTTCTCTACTTTTGAAGATGGAAATGCAAATCTTGGTAGAAATAATCGTTTTAAAAATGTGTTCTTATAATTGTGTGGGCTATCCACTATTAATTTCTGTATTAGTCAGCATGTCTAATTGCTATAACAAACCACCTCCAAATAGCAGTCTTCTACAACAAATGTTTATTTTTCCCTCATGTCACAGTCTAGTGTAGATTGGAATGGAGGAAACTTTGTTCCAGAGTCATTCAGACTCTGAAGGACCCAGGTTCCTTCCCGCACCCCCCCTTCTCCCCCGATCCCTTACGGATTAGATCCTTTTTTACAGCTATGAGCTAGAGAAATTCTGGAGAACTGGGGGAGGGTTTGGGGCCAGGTATGGTATTGGCATGTGTCACTGCTGCCCATATTCCATTGCACAGAATTCAATCTCATGGCCTCACTAACCACAGGAAGGCTGGGAAACTTCATTTAGAGTGTTCCTCCCAAGGAAAAAAGGAAAGGGTTTTGGTGACTTATCCCTGTCATAGTTTCCACCTACAGAACCAAATTGAGAGGGAGAAAGGGCTACATATTAGGGTGAGTGTCTAGAGCACCTTTGGAGAAAAAACATATTTTGAGCTTCCTTGCCAACATTCATACAAGTGAACACTGGAATACAGCTTTTTATGAGTTTTTTTTGGCTAGTCTAGGTACCCAACTGCTTATTTTCCCTCTTCCTTTATGAGAAAATGAAGAAGAAAAGAGAAGTTAATGTTTTGAGTTCCATATAATCTATATGAACTCTAATAATAATGAATGCTACTAATATAAACATAATTCTGCAAAACAACTATTATCTTTTATTTGACAATTTACTATTTTCCAGATTTCTTTTAAATAGCCCAGTTTTGTTTGTCTCTTTTTGGTGAAAACCATTGGGCTACTCATATGCACTGAGGGCTATTCCAGTGATCCTGGGGTCCAGAGGATCTCAGAAGTCAAATTAGATATGAAATCTCAAGGTTCCCAATCTGCTTAGGACACTTCCAGAAGGTCTTAATTCTTTTCTAGTACTCTTCACTTGGCATATATGAGGTTCACTAGCATGTAACAGATCTGGATTTTGGGATGCCCCTGTGAAGTATAGTGAGGAAGCTTATAGTATTAAATGTATGATGTTAACTAATACTGGTTTGTTTACAGACTGAGACTACAAACTGCTTCAACTCATCAATGAATAATATTCATGAAATGGAAATGCAGCTGAAAGATGTAAGTTCCTTTTCCTTTTATTAAGTTGTGGCTAAAGAGGACTAATTCATTTATTTTTAAACTTTATGGAATTTGACAGCATTGATGCTGTGAGTTGGGAAAAAAAAAAGAACTGAGTGGTTCTCCATCTTTCTAGGTTACTACCCTTAAGTCTCTTCCCAGGTATTCAAGAGAGCCAGTTCCTCTAATGGTCTCATTAGGCTAAAAAACCCTAGAAGTCACCCATAACTACCAAACACCTCAACAGCATCCCTTCTCCATCTATGTCAAATTTGCCCAGCTGTTTTGTTATCACAATGTAATTTACAGTTTCTTCTTTTTGATTATCTGTATAGGATGTACTCTTTAGTTCAAAATTCTTCCATTGGAACAAGGATTTGCTTTCATAGTTTGAAAAGGAAAATACATTCTTTGTATACTTAATACTTCTCTAGAATTTGATATGAGGTTATTTTCAATATAAGGTGAAGCCATATTATTTTAAACTGGTGTCTTAAATAGATTGGTAGGTTTCATCGGAAATTAAATAAATTGAGGACACAGGACTACTATTCACAGTGTATTTTTTTCCACGTCTTTTCTTTCTGTTTTTAATCTTCACTCGAGGACATTTTTCCATTTTTTGTTCAGATAGAGTGGGAGGGAGAGAGAGGGAGAGAGAGAGACAGAGAGAAACATCGACATGAAAGGGACACATCAAGTGGCTGCCTCCCGCACGACCCAACCAGGGCATGACCCAACCAGGACCAGGGACAAACTACAACCGAGGTATGTGCCCTTAGCAGGAACTGAACCCGGGTCTCTCTGGACCGCAGGCCGACGCTCTAATTGCTGAGCCAAACCGGCCGGGGCCCAGTATTTTTTTTTATGACTTATCCCATCTCATCCTTCTTGAGTGAGATGCCAGCTTGTGGAGGAAAGGAGCCCCTCCTTTTATAGTACTCCTATGACAAATGTGATTTGAAAAGAATTGAGCACTTTGGAAAATATATTCCAATATGTATGTTTTACTTCAGTAAAGTTACACCATGCAACTTTGGTTAAGAACTTTGTGTTTATATCATCACTTTCTGGCAGCCCTGAAGGATATGAAGTTCTTCATCCTGGCTGCTACTTTAACCATTGATAACAATAAATTACAACAGATCTGGGATGAACTGTGACACAAGGGGTACATATTAAGAACTTGTAAGATTATAGAAATAGATATGACAGGTTTATTACAAAGGGTTTGTTCTTTATGACAGTTTTATTACAAAGGGTTCGTTATATAAGGAATGTCCAAACCTGTAGAGAATTTTTGTAAGAGTTTATTTGAACCAAATTGTTGACATGCCAGGAAGCAAGATCTCAAATTTTTGGCCAATGACAGTTTTGCCGGTCTTTTCATACATTTGGAACTAAAGAGGGAATTATTCTGAACCATAAGAATTTCTATGTGCTGGAAAAGATTATGTCACTTGGGTTCCCTTGCCCTTTTTACGATTTTACTTTTTAAAATTTTATTATTATAATAAATGCTTATTATTGATTTTTGTACTATTTCACATCAAGGCTCTAGAGAAAAATCAGCAATGGCTTGTGTATGATCAGCAGCGAGAAGTCTACGTAAAAGGACTTGTAGCAAAGATCTATGAGTTGGAACAGAAATTGGAAACAGCTGCTCATTCACTCCCAAAGCAGACAAAAAAGACTGAATCAGAAGGTACTGGTATAAATATGTTCTTTTGGGATAGGTCTGCCTGACATTTTCCAAAAGGAGAGATTCCTCAAATTTAGATTTTTATAGGTATGTGTTGGAAAGTAAAATAAGAGTAAGTCTTATTAAAATGGTGTTCTGAAGAAATACTACTTTGGCCAATCTGTTTTATTTTCCATTGTTTTCTGATAAAAGAGGGCATAAGGCACGGGGCAAAAGGGTTAGCAGCTCTGAAAATATAGTACATTTTCTCCACTGTGCATGTCCTCCCCTTCTTCAAAGCCCTTCTCCAACTTTATTGCCCCAGAGCTGGCCTTGTCACCAATTATCATATCAATCCCAGGAGAAAGAATACATTTTGTAGGTGATACTAGAGTCATTTGAATCTCATCATAGAACTGAAATGAAGTTTCTTATGAGCAATGCTGTCTTTTTTATCAAGTGCTTTACAGTTTCCCTAACACTCCTCTTAATTGAGTTTCGTGAGAACCATAAGAGGTAGGGCAGAAGGGTCATTACTCTCATTTTACAGGTGACAAGCTAGGGACAGAAGAGAAACCCCCCGCAAAGCACTCTTTAAATGACTGACAGCCCTAATGGGATGGAAGCCTTGAATTATACAAAGAGAAAGCTAAAGAAAGGCAAGCAAGGCTCATAATGTTCGAGCTCCACATTTGAATATTTAAAATGAAGCTAATGCTAAAAAGGAATGTCTTTGGAGATAATTTAAAGTTGTTTGTCCCTAAAAGGACATGGTCACTACTATAACATGAAAGTAGGGTTTTAATTATGGGCAAGTCTAATTTTTTCTTTGGTATTATAGGGGTGTGTGTGTTATCAAAGTAATAATGGTTTGCTCAAGTAATAGTACAGAAGGGTCCTCCACCTTTCCCATCTCATCCTGTCTCTGTGTCCTCCTATCAAGGGCAGCTACTGTTAACATTTCTGTTTTTTAATTTTGGTAATTATCTCACCTATAAATAATGAGCTTATATCTCTGTTGATTTATCTTCTTTAGATATTAGTGACTTTCCCTCTCCATAGAATAGTTGTATTACTGTTTTTAGTCTTCTAGTTATTTAGTTCTACTAGTTCTTCATACCTGAACTTGTGTTGTTGGCCTGTCAAAATCAACCCTAACTCTTTTGACTTTTCATTTTGTAAGGTGAGGAAATAATGTGATCTTGTGTATGGAAACGGGTTTATCTTTATCTTTCAGGAATATGACATATTTTATAAAGTGAGTTATGCCCTACTGTGTTTGTCATAGGTTATCTTCAAGAAGAAAAGGAAAAACATTATTACCACCTCTTAGCAAATGCAAAAAGAGATCTTGAGGTTGATCGACAAACTATAACTCAGTTGAATTTTGAACTTCGTGAATTTCAAAGAAAATATGAAGAAACCCAAAAAGAACTTCAGGACTTAAATAAACTGTTGTGTTCTCAAAGAAAGGCTAATGTACAACATCTGGAAGATGATAGGCATAAAACAAAGAAAATACAAAGGCTCAAGGAAGAGAATGATATTGCTAGGGGAAAACTTGAAGAAGAGAAGAAGAGATCTGAAGAGCTCTTATCTCAGGTGAGCTAACCAATAGTGTTTTCCATGATGCATAACTCAGATTTCTCATTATATTTACTAAGTGTCAGGGACTATTTTAACCACTTGGGAACCAGCAAGGAACAAAACAAGTTCCTGTCCCCTTTGTGGGTGTTCATATTTAGAATGGAAATAGACCATAAACAAATGAAAGGAAACAGTGTAATATAACAAAGAGAAATGGAGGGCTCTGGGAGGCCTCAGAGAAGAAATGGTATTTGGACAAAGACCCATGACAAGAAGGAACCAGCACAGTGACTATGGGAATTCTCTCCAGCCACAGGAACTCACACTTTAAAGGCTCAGAGAGAAAAGAGGGTATGTGTGAGAAGCCAAAAGATGTAAAGTAAAGAGGGGAATCAAGGCTGATTCCTAGGCCTTGACCATGCTACTGTGCTCAAGTTAATTCACGTGGCCCCTTCCATGTTCTCCAACTATATGCCAGGACGTTGAAGTTACTGAGTTTGGATTATTGGAATTCAATACTATTTTGACAGAAACTCATACGTTAAATTTTGCTTGGCAGCATGGAATAATGGAAAGAACAGTACTTGGATTCTGTACCTGGTCTCTAGTCCAGGATGTGTGTGGCTTTAGGCAAATCACTTAACTTCTCTGACTTGTAGATTCATCGTGTCAAATTAATAATAATTTCTTGTCTCATTGGGCTTTTGTGAGGGTCAGTTGAGAGAATGTAAAAGAGTTTTGTTAGTGATTGCTACTATTAGAATAGTAATACAAAAAATCCTCCAAAAGTTGAGGGGGGCATAATCTGTAACATTTGCCACCTTAGTCTTTATCATGCTTGCTTCTGCCTACAGGTGCAAGCAGTGTTATTTGTAAAAGATTTCACATAAATGATTGAGAATTTTGCTCCAACTTGGTGGCCCAGGAGGTGAGGCACTGCCAGCTATTATCCTATTCAGAAATGATAGGAGGTTAGATGTCAGGACCTCCAAGAAAGTGGGTATGGCCACCAGAGTTCTGTGCCGTTGCTCAGCTCTCAGCCTGGGCGGCACTGCTCAGCTGCTGGCATGGAGCGCCATCAACCAACCAGCTGCAGTGGCTCACTCAGCTGAGCAGGTGGTGTTCTAGTTAGAGCTATGAGACTGGAGAGCTGCTCGTGCATCCAGGTCAAGCGATAAAAAGGCTGGATGTGACAACACAGTCTCTCTTTATACCCTACAGGTCCAGTTTCTTTACACGTCTCTGTTAAATCACCAAGAAGAACAAACGAGGGTAGCTCTGTTGGAACAACAGGTACTCACTGGGGTTGCTTCTAAATTCATTTTAACCCATTAGAAAATAGACCTTTTTCCTCATGTTTACACTATTCTGTGAAGGACCATTTTAAAGTGGTGAAAAAAATTTTTTTTAAAACTTTATCTGTGCTACCCATATACTCCTGTTACTGTTGGCAGGCTAAAACATCCTTAGAGGTGAGGTGGCAATTTTCTTGACAGGTAGATGTTCATCTTGGCAAATTTTATCCTTTCCCAGACTGCTTCTGTAGTTCCTGCTCTAGCCTAATGAGGTTTCCCTAAGAGGGCCACATTGTAACTTCACACAGAACTCAGAGACACCATCTATTCTCAGAATGTAGACCAGAGATTTTTAGTACATTCCAAACCAGGGAATAGCCATCTCTTTCCCTTCTCCCCCCTTCCACATAAAAAAGTGGTGGGGAGATAATTCCTCAAGCAATGGCTTTGCTCCTTAGATCAACCAAGTCCTCAACCATAAACTTTTTTTTTTTAATTAAACTATTATTTTATTACTGAGTTTATTGGTTGATAAAACCATGTAGGTTTCAAGTGTACAACTCAATAAAACATCATCTGCACACTGCATTGTGTGCTCACCACCTAAAGTCAAGTCTCTTTCCATCCCCATTTATTCTCCCTTTGCCCACTTTCACCTCTCTCCACCCTCCTTTCCCTCTGGCTATCACCATACTGCTGTCTGTGTCTGTGTGTGTCATATATATATATATATATATATATATCCCCCCTTAATCCCTTCACCTTTTTTCACTCAGCCTCCCAACCCCCCTCCCCTCTGATAGCTGTCAGTCTGTCCTATGTATCCATCCTTCTGTTTCTATTTTGTTCGTTAAATTATTTTGTTGATTAGATTCCACATCTCACTGTGCTCAGTTAAATTCTTGCTCTGACAGTGTAACAAATGTCTTCTTCTTGTGCTAATTAAAAAATGCAAATATCCGGTCAAGAGAACTAGACAATTGTGGGGCAGAGGGGAGATGGGGAACATCTGTAATACCATCAACAATAAGAAATATATATTTTAAAAAAAACACAACTAGACATTTTATATTAGCTGTAACTATCTTGTCCTGGACATTTCTCCAGATTCAGGCATGTACTTTAGACTTCGAAAATGAAAAACTTGACCGTCAAAATATGCAGCATCAATTGCATGTAATTCTTAAAGAGCTTCGAAAAGCAAGAAATCAGATAATACATTTGGAATCCTCGGTGAGTCTAGAATGGTTAAACTTAAAACTTACTTTCTTCTTTCTCTTTCTGCCATCTTTGCACTTATGTTTCAAACTGGTTCCCAAGCTAGGAGGATACCACTTAAAGAATTGCTGTTTCTTAAATCAACAGGCAGAGCCCCTGCCTCATTTAAAGTAACTGCCCTTTGAGTGTCAGTTCAGAGCACTAGAAAGAGGGACATTGTGTGCCTCTTGGTAATCATTACATTACCCGTGCCTAGGACCTTCCCCCATCCACTCTGGCCTGGGGGAGGAAGAGGGGCAAGGGAGGAAATTGTGTTTTTCTATTTAAAAAGAAAGAAATGCTGTTTTTAGGGATAATGGACTGTTACTGTTAATACACTCTTAAACATATTAAGTTAAGCACATTTTGTGTTACCCTCAACAATGAACACATAATCTTGTTTTTTTAGTTTTTTTTTTACTTTTTTATTGACTTCACTGGGGTGATATTGGTTAATAAAATTATGTAGGTTTCAGGTGTACACTTCTATAATACATCTATACATTGTATTGTGTGTTCACCACCCCAAGTCAAGTTTCTTTCCGTCACCATTTATCCCTTCTTTACACACTTCTGCCTTCCTTTTCCCTCCGGTAATCACCATACTGTTATCTGGGAACATACAATCTTCTAAAAGAAAAACCTTTCAAATAATATTGGTGCTATGAGGAAATGGTTTTTGACTTACCTATTTTCATGTTACTAATACGCTTTTGGCCCAAACCTGTTGGGAGGGGTGTGTGTGTGTCCCATAGCACATATTTTACATATCAGCCTGGTACTTCAGAGTACTTGCAGGTGGAGAAATGTTACAAATAGAATTCCTCAGTTTTCAAAAGAGAAAAAAAGCCATCTTTTTAAAAAAATTATTTGTTCTTTATGAATACAAGACACAATATATTTTCGGCTCTATTCCTCTAGTATGTTACTGATTTTGACCATTTATAATATTTGAAATTGAAATTTATCCTTCATTTCTGTTAATGACTATTTTTCAAAGTATAGGAAACCAGAGGGTCTACAAAATAATCGATAATTTTCCTGTACTTTCTTTGTGTTCCTACTGTGTAACTCCTATACTGTATATAGGAGGCTGTAAAATTCTCGTTTTTAAGCTTTACTGACTATCCTAAGTTTCTCAGAAAACATAAGGAAAGTCTCAAAGGTATTATACAGTTAGTCCTTTCTGTGTATAACTTGTTTGATCTGCTAAAATTCTGTGCTTCTAATTCCATGTAGTTCTTTATTGCTGAAGTGTTCTTTTATAAGACTAGCAAATTTTGTCAGCCTTGCACACAGGCCTATCTTTACATTGGGCTATAAGCATTTTTAAAAAAACAAAATCTATCCAGCCCTGGCCAGGTTGGCTCAGCAGTTAGAGTGTCAGCCTGCGGATGGAAGAGTCATGGGTTTGATTCCAGTCAAGGGCACGTACCTCGGTTGCAGTTTGGTCCCTGGCCTTGGATGGAGTTGTGCGGGAGGTGTCCAATCGATATGTCTCTCTCACATGGATGTTTCTCTCTCTCCCTCCGTCCCTCCTTCCTTCCCACTCTATCTGAAGATAAATGGAGGAGTATCCTCGGGTAAGGATTTACAAAAAAAACCTACCCATATAAACACCCAACCCCAGTACTTCCTGGGTAGTTTGGGTAATTTATAACCTGGGTAATTTGTGTAATTTGCATGTTAGCACCATAATACTGATGAGCAGAGATTCTAAAGAAAATCTGTCTGCAGGGCTAAAGCAGCTGGATCATCTGTGGAGCAGTTACAACTTACATACAAATGGTGTTCATTTGGCATTTATTTTTCAGAAGCAGCTTCCTGAATTTGCCTTCACTGAGCCATTAGTCACTTTCCAAGGAGAGACTGAAAACAGAGTAAAAGCTGCCTCACCAAAAAGTCCCACAACTGCACTGAATGAAAGCCTGGTGGAATGTCCCAAGTGCAGTATCCAGTATCCAGTCACCGAACATCGAGATCTACTTGTCCATGTCGAATACTGTTCACAGTAGCAATATAATCATTCTTTATTTTTTGTCAAGAGATTCAATACTGTACCTTACATTAGTGAAGGAACATTTTTAATTCCTTATTTCACCTCATCTATAAGAAACTGCCTATCTACCTTTGAGACTCTGGGATAGAAGTGTATTTTTGGGCTTCTTTGCATTTTCCGTGGCAGTGATACCTCCCTGAGATGGTTCATATTCAGGCTTCGGCGTATGCTGAGAAAACTGACATTTTGCACTATTAAAGTACTTGATGGAGAAAAGATAGTTCAGGTTATTTGTGAATTAAATCTATACACAGGCAAGCAAATATTTTGTGTTTTGTGGGTTTTTAAATATGGAAGATAATTAACCAAGTACCTTACTGTCAGCACTTTTTATCTAAGCACTTGGTATATATAAATATACCTACAATTGAGTCCATTGTTAAAAGATGGTGATACTTTCTTTCACTTTTTCGTTGCTATTATAGAGCGGTTATTAGACAAGTTGGGAATTTTCTTGGTCTTTATTGCTGCTTACTGCTGAAATGAAAACCTACCTGTGTTCTAAGCACAAAGCATATTCTGCCTAAGAAGTACCTCTAAGTAGTCATATACACAATGTTTTCTGTCATATTAACTGGCTATAACTTTAAGTTGAATTTCATTAGCACATACTAGTCAGCTAAAATTGTTAAAATGAATTTTAACAAAACCATCCAGACCTCTCATTTTAATTTGTGCATATTTTATTTGCTTATTTTTAGCATTCTCAAAGCTGGGCAATGTAATGAGCAGATATTTGCTTATCTGAATATTTTTTATACATGTGTGTAAACTAAAATATTTTTTATTTCCTCAGGTTTTCTAAAATGCTTAACACTGGGCTACTGTTAGAAATATAAAGGAGAAAAGAATAAAATTATTTTATAAGTTTTAATATGTCTAGCATGTATGTATATAGTTAGTTAAAGATTTCTACCCAGAGAGGAGTGCCAGAGGGTTACAGATGAACATACAGTATAAAATAAAATAAGGTAAAGGATACACTGGAACCAAAAACTACATGAAGCTCAGAAAAGTTAAGCAGAGTCCCCACAATAAAAAAAAAAGACATTCTTGGGTTTCAAACTCCAACTTCAACACCCATCTTCTTTCCACCATTCCACAAGCCTTTTATGAATTCTCCAGACGCAGTATACTTAAGTGCTATCATAACTGGAGTCACGGGATGTTTTTTGAGTTAAGAGAGAAATGGCAGAATATACTACCTGGTCGCCTCTATCTATCTCTCTGATCTGAGAAGTTCTGCCTTTTCAAATCTCTCAACTTGTTCCATGGAGCCCTGCTCTGTGAGTTCTCTAACAGCTTTAATTTCAACTACAAACATTAAATGCCAACTATGTGCAAGGCTCTGGGCTAGGTGTTAACGACACAGTGGTAATAAAATACAGTCCAATAGAATAGACCAAAACCTAAACTACAATACACTGTAGGAAGTGCTATAATGAATTTACATGTAGGTTAGAGGAGTTTATTTAAACCTTGCCTTATTCTAATGTAGATTGAAGGTCTGACTCTTCAAAGGTACAAATCTTATACTAAGAAAATAAATAAATAGGAAAAAGCAACAGGAAAACAAAATTAAGGAGTAAAGTGGAGCCATGCATAAAGACAGCCCCAAGGCAAGCCTTGGAGTCCTTCTGACAGGTGAGCCCTGGATTTGGTAGATGTTAGCACAGAGAATCCTGTACACCATTCACATGACTTCAAAATGCAGCTGATCTTTCAGAGAAATGCCACTATAATGATCCTGGTACTGAGACTGCCTTCATAGAGAGGCCACAAATGTAACGTTCATAGCCTTAACAGCAATCTGATAAACACAGTGGTGTGTTCCACTCTGGTTTCTTAATGTTCTTACACCTAGGTGAAAATATCATGTACAGAACCATCTCCATAATCCTCAAGTGCAGGCAATTCCATACTCTCCCAATACATAGCTCTCTGCTGTTACCCCAGAGCAAATTTTAGGGACTGGAGCCAACTCAAAACCCTCTGTCAGCCAGCTAGACTGTGGAGACTGGGAAATACGTGCTTTCATCCAAAGGGGGCGCAGCTGCTCAGCTCCAGCCAATGTCCTATGTGAATGAGTTCAGTGTGGCTGATCTTTTAGATTTTCCAAGAGAAATTGAGAAGTTTTAAATGTGAAATCTCCCAACTTCTAAATATTGGGGAAAATTACCACAATGTGGGCCAAACACATTTCCAGTTTGTAACCTGTTTAGAGCATCTGAATGGGACAAAAGGAATGGCTAGTTCAGCCTGAGATGGGTAGGAAGCTGAGGCAGGATTAGTCCTACCTGCTCTTAGGACTGAGTTCTCAAATCCAGTTCAATCAGACATACCTGTCTGAGGGACACAGTAAATTATGACCCTTTCTGACCATCCCTTCTATCTGCCATCTGGCCTTTCTGGCTACACTTTCCAAATAGAACTGGCTGGCTGCTAGCATTCCCTCACTACCCTCTACTCCCCAAACCCATAAGCTGAAGGAATGTCAGAGCTGGAAGGGAACTAGGAAGTCATCCACTCTAGCATTTTTGGTCCAGGAAATCCACCTCACCTTTGGAGTGTGTTAAAAATGTTGATTCCTTGGCTTCCCCCAGAGCTCGTAAATCAGAATGTCAGGGGGTGGAAACATGGAATACCTATTATTAAGCTTTCCAGGGCATTTTGATGTTTTACTGAAGACTGAGCTAGTCCAACCCTGACTTCCTGATTAAACAGAGTCACCAAGCCCTGGCTGGTTTGGCTCAGCAGTTAGAGCGCAGGGCTGCAGACCAATGAGTCATGGGTTCGATTCCAGGCAAAGGCACATACTGCAGTTGTGGTTCAGTCCCGTCCCTGGTCAGAATCATGCAGGAGGCAACCAGTGGATGTTTCTCTTTCTTTCTCTCCCCCCACCCCCCCATCTGAAGATAAACAGAAAAATATCCTTGGGTGAGTATTAAAAAAAAAAACAGTCAGAGAGGGGAGTGTCTTGTCCAAGGTCACATAGTCAATTTGAGGGAAAGTGAGGAAGACTCAGGCTCCCAAAGGCAGTGATCTGTGAGAGCCCCTACCCTCTGGCTTGTGTGCCATGATTCCAGCAAAAGTACTCTTTCCGAGATCCCCAATGCCCTGTTGGCCTAGTTCTCTTTTTCCTTATCTTCTGTGGTGTGCTCTCAGCTTTTAATCTAATGATACTTTAGCTTTGGATAGTCAAGTGGGACATATTAGTAAGACATTCAAGGAGCCAAACAAGGTGGTACCCAAATAAGGGTGAAAGTCAGGACCAAGCTAGGGGTTTGCACAGAATCTGGAGAGATGACAAAGAAAGGAGCAGAGAAGACTAAGCGTGGGAAGCACCCTGTGGTCCAGAAGTAGGTAGAAGCACTTAGAGAATCAAATTAAAGTTGTATCTCCAAACAAAGCAACCAAACCAGAGAAAAAAGGAATAGCCTGCACCCAAGAGAACGAGCTTGCATCTGATAAAAAACCTTCACCTTCTTCCAAGCCAGATTCACTGTATTGATTTAACCCCAGGACCAGCACATCTTCCACTGAAATGTTTTCATAGGCATTACAGGTAATTCTGAAGGAATCTCACCAATTTCAGGGGATTGTACCAAGCACTGATCTCACTACTTGATTCAGCACATGTATTCAGTTCATCTGCAAGAGGCAAGGTGCCATGCAAGACACTAGAGGTGGACAGAAGAGTGCAGCCTTTAGCAGAACCAAGGGAAGGTGGACATCAATGCAGATCAATGACAGCACAGTGATATAAATGCCCCATTAGAAGTCACCCACAGTTGAGAGAGGAGAGGCTTTCCAAAGGCTGCAACGACTGAACTAGGTTTAAGAAAGCAAGTAATATTCAAGTTTTAATAGTGTTTGTTCCTTGACTTACACTGAAAGTGAATCATTAAGCTGAACTTAAGGAAAAACATGGCCTGAGTAATACTGGTCACTTTCTGATGGCAGGATGAGGGTGTAGAGGAAGGGCAGTAGTGTGGCTCAAATTGTGACACTGATGATGACAGTCATGTAGCTACAAAGATACAGAAAGCAAACTGTTTTGAATGCTGAAATATCAGAGGAGATAATAAACTTAAGATTTTAATGAAGGAAAAGAAAAAGACTTAGAATAAAGGCAGCTTTGCTGTTTGACGCACAGATTTTGCACAATGGCACCTATGCCACCTTGCATAGGTTTGAAGGTGTGCATTTTCACCTGATTTTTATAAGGTGCAGGTAAGTGTGTGTGTGTGTGTGTGTGTGTGTGTGTGTGTGTGTGTGTTGGGGGGGCAATACTACAGGATTAAGAGAGAACTTCCAGAGTACCGTATATTATTTTCAAGATAAGTTTAATAGTTTTTCATATTCGCTCATAGGCTACATTAATAATGCTCTGCTCATGCAGTGAACTTTCTGGAAATGACTTTATTGGAGATCAAAAAGGAAGCATCTGAAAATTTATATTTTCTTTTGTTTTACTTCTTTGGCAGTTTTAGGGGAGCATGTTACTGTGGAAAGAGCCCTGAAATGGAACCACCAGACCCCAGTTGATTCTGCTTCTGACTTTGAGCAAGTCACTAACCTCCCCAAGCCTCTGCTTCCTCCACTCTAAAATAGGAATGCTAATGCCTTCCTCAGCTATGTTCCCAGGATGTCATGAAAATAAAAATCCAATTTATTTAGGAGCTCCTATATATTGTGTTTTTAGTATACCAACTAATATGCTAAATACCTCATAAGAATCATGTCATTTTATCCACACGGTAACATTATATGGGAGTTTCTATAATTGTTCCATTACACAGATGAGGAAGCTATGATTTAGAAAGCTCGAGTCACTTGCCCATTGTCAATAGCAAAGAGAGGGGCAGAGCCAGTACTGGAACTCAAGTGTGTCTGCCTCTAGAGACCGAGCTATTAGGCCTTACCATATACATTTCTAACATTAAGCCAGAAATGTATGTGAAAGCACATTGCAGATGGGAAATACTACCCGATATTTTTATTTTTCAGCAATAATTATAGTGTGGAGGGGGATGAAGAGAAGATAAAGGAGTGACATTACCTACTTCCAAGAACCTCCATTCATCTTTCTCATCTATTAGAACCACACTCCTCACCCTCATTTGCAACTAAATGACAGTGCAGATGTGTTCAGATGCAAATAACAGAAAGGCTGACACTGTCAGGTCATTAATTGTTTTGTTTAAAAATAAGTCCGGAATCAGATAACCCCAATTCAGATGAACAGTTTCACAATGTTTAGGTTCTGGGCTGTCATCTCTATTATTCTCTGGGTCCCCTACTCATGCTCACATAAAGGCTGCTGCAAGTTCCAAACATCACAAGCTAATGACACTTTTTTCAAAACCAAGAAGCAGACAGCTAGCCAGGGTAATGAACCAGCACGCCTTAACGCCTTTCTCCTTTTACCCAACAAAAGGAAGTTTACTGGAAACAGAGATATTCAGCCAGAAACTCCACTGTACACTTCCCTTACACTTCATTGACTAGAACTGGATTGCACCATGTATTCGGATGGGCCGGGCTAGGCTCCAGTAACAAACCCTGAAATCCCCTTGGCTGAACACAACACAGGTTTATATCCTGCTCACCTCCTGGGCTGGTGGACCTCCTTCATCTTGCAGCTACACAA